CAAGGCGTGGACAGTCAAATTTCTCCCAGGTGTGTAAATTTATAATCCGTCCGCCAGGTCCGACAAGAGACGACCCCGACAAACGGAGGGACTAACTGTATTCGTCAAACTCCGACCGCTGCGGTCGACCCAACTGGGATCCCGCCCCAGCGGCGGGACAGTGAAAGACGCCATGATTTGCTCCAAACCCAGTACTCACAGTACCCGCTAAGTCGAAGAACGATACTCAGGGAACGACGAAAACGGACGTGGTGTGAAGGTGCATTGACCCAAGAACATAGCAGGGACTCCATGACTATATATAGGGAGGGAACCTTTCTAGAAAGGGGGGCTTTTTTCTCTCTATAATGCTCCTCTCTCGGTAATTCTCCTCTCTCTGTAATTCTCCTTAGCAAAACGAAGACAAAACAATTTTTCCATACATGATGTAAACCGATTATCTCCACCGGTTGGTGAGAGAAGAAATGAAAAACATAAACAAGATTGACCGCCCTTATTTTATTTTACTAATCATTTTCTTATGTGTTTATAGATCTGGAGTTTATTATGTTTGATAAGATTTACCTTTTTATCTTTATTAATTGATTTAATCAAAAAGATTTCGATATCTTTTGGTCAAACACTGTTCCGTTTGCCTTTAATTTCCACTTGTGCGTGGGGTGCAAAAAAGAGCTTAATACTTCTGCTTTTGAAATATTACCTTAAGAGTTTATTATTTCGTTCGGAATTGGCCGCTCATATTAATGTGACAGAAGTCCGTTGATTAAAACAAAACTCTTTGAATAACGCTTCCTCTTTTAATTGGGCGCTATGACTCAATCAGAATTAGTCAGACAAGTAAAATTCAAAATTATAAGAAAATGGTATTTATAGAAATACTAGTAAATTTATCCGCGCTTCGCGCGGTATAATGATAAACTTAAAATCGTCTTCTTTAAAATAAAGAGCGTGTTTGGCCAAGATGAAAAAATACTTTTGAGCAGCAGCAGAAGCAGTTTTTGTACTTTTGGAAAAAAAACTACAAATTCTAACTTCTTCCAGGAAGCAGAAGCAAAAAATTTATTTATTCAAGACAAAAAAAAAACCTAACAATAAATTTATATTTCCAAAATTATGCCTCATTAATTTAATATTTCCTTTTCCTTGTTCTTTTTATTTCTACTATACCTTTCTTCTCTGTTTTTATTTATTTTAATCACATTTTTATTCTGTTTCTCCTATTCCTAAGAATAGATTTTAAAAATATTGAATGGTTTATTTTGATTTATTTAAATTATCATGTAAACAATATGTAATACCAAATACTCAATGTTATTCCTTTGAAATAAATTTATTTTATATTAATTTAAAAAATTATTTTTATTTTTATTTTACATATTATATTATAATTAATTCTTTTATATTAAATTTAAATTTATTTTTCTTTATTAAATGATATTAATTGTAAACTGAACCTTTATTGTCATTTTTCATAATTTTATATTTAAAAGTACTTTTTAAGAAGATTGGGCCAAACACAATGAGCAAACACTACTCAAATGAATTAGCCAAACACAAACTGTTAATTTGTAAAAGTATTTTTTCAAAAATACTTTTGAATAAAAGCACATTTCAAAATAAGTAATTTTTAGCATCTTGGCCAACGGACTCTAAACATAGAGAGATAATTTTCTCATTTCCTTGGTGCCAAGACTTCTTTTGACTAACGAATATATATATATATATATATATATATATATATATATATCTTTTTTTTTTTGTATAAATATACATTTTA